TATACAATTAAAATTTATTCAGCTTGACAGTTTAACATAAGCATCCTTCAGCATTTCATTTTTTGGTGATATGCAGAAACAATAATTGGAAGGTTATCAAAGGTACAGTTAGTATAATATTGTATCAATAAGAATCTGTCTTTAAGTGGGTGACACGTTTTTATCAACAGCAGGCTACGATTAGTGCAACGATTACAATATGTAGCCACAATCACAAAGATCTGAACACTGTGTATAATATGACAGCTTACTGTCTGAGTGCATATTTTGCGGTATCCTCGTAATAACCTTGCTATTATACATCTTTCCCTTCCAATGATACACCATGGGAATGTCGAAATCTAAAAAGTTTAGAACAGAATCAGCGAACTTCTTTGTGTGGAGTCTGGTCAAACCAACATGTGCAACATATTACAATAGTGTCAATTTCTTTGCAGCATGTTGCAGACATGATGTTAAGGATGCGTCGTGAGATGGCTGGTAGTGAACAGCAAATCCCACCACAGATCGATGCTTTATTGTTGATAGACCGTAACGTGGATTTTCTAACGCCGCTAGCATCGCAGCTCACTTATGAAGGACTCATAGATGAAATATTTGGCATTGCTAACAGTAAGTGATATGAACCTTCCCTTCTTCTAGTCGTACTGCATTGCTCCCATTACTGGGGGGCCACAGTCACAGTCATGCCTGCTGATTTTAGTACTTCTTCAATATATATCACAACTACTATAACATGGCAGAAAATGGTATTAGTAAACTGCACATGTTACATGCAAATAAACTGACATACATTACAACAGGATTCAAACTTATGATCATCGAAATTGCCACTGCATGCAAAGATGATAACTACCATGTCACACTCACTGCACAAAAAACACAGTTTGAATTAGTTCGTAGTGAATATTTACTCTATTGTGGGTTTGTAAGGGGTAAATTTACATTATGAATGCAAGGTGTCAATTTTACATTGGGTTTTATCTTTGTAGTACATGATGTTCGAGTTTTAAACAAACATTTAAAGTCAGTGACATTATTATACCAGAGGTACATTACTTGGGGTTTGCAACTACGGTGACATGATACCAAGATCCAGTTTCAATCTCGCTCTCGCATAAGCGTTCCAACTCAGAAAAATGCGAATGCACATGCCCTAGGTAACTAGGATACCGGGATGTCTAGGTGGATCAAAATAGCTGCTCACGATATGACGGATTACGATAACTATATTTTCTGTACATTTTCGATGTATTACATTTGTTCACTATGAATGTGGTTATACATGTTTTATTATTTTATTACAAACCGCCTATGTCATGTCAGAAGGTGGTAACATCAGTCTCGCTATCTTCGAGATGAGACTTGAATGGGAACACTTTTATTTTGAACCCATAGTCCTGGGTATGGTTTTGCAATATACAATAGGACATTGAAATGCTTATTTAAAAATTGAAACTGAGAGACAGTCCAAGCTTCTGCTAAGCAACATATTGAGTGATGTAATATATATTGTAAATTCTCTAGCGAGTGTCAAACTACCGCCAGAAAAGTTCCAGAGGCAAAAAGACGGAGAACCTTCAAGCGACATTTCAGGTGAACCGAAAAAGTTTGTATTGAATTCCGCAGATGAGTTGTACTCTGTTCTGAGGGATAAGAATTTCCATGCAGTGGGACCTGAACTTAGTAAAAAAGCCAAACTGCTATCAGCGCAATTTGAGGTTAGTAGTTTGAGGTGCTAACACTTCATCCACTGATGCATTTTTTTTCTTACTTTATTTTGGTTATCCATGGAAGCTCCAGCCGCCAATATTTCAATTAATTTGAATTAATTGGATATGATCAGTTTTACTTCAAATGTTTTTATTTGCAAAATGTTCAATGCACATCCCCACTTCACTTCTCTAAGTCGCTGTTTGTTGAAATTATTGGTTTCTAACATTTTTATACTTTTGTCATTAACATTAGTGAGTAGGTTATTATATCATATTAACCTCCAAGATCCTGATTGGTTGAAAATGATTTAGTGATTGAAAGTTCATTGAATTGTTTTTGTAGGAAAGAAAGGATGCAAAGACAGTCGGTGAAATTAAACAATTTGTTTCAAAACTGCCACATATTCAAGCAGCAAAAATATCCCTCGCCAATCGTAAGTAGATGTAATCACTATGCAATATACAGTACTTGTTAAAGTGGTGTGGTCTGTTTCAATCTTCAGATGATTGAGCTGCCCTTATGCAGTAATATATTGCCCTTATGCAGTAATATATATCCGAAATTTTCACAATTTAGCTAAAATGATGTTGCTGTTCATCCTAGGAAAAATAATGTGATGATTTGGTTGATTTTTTGTGATAAGATTATTCATTAAAAATGCTTTCAAATACTTAAAGCAGGGGAGTCATCACCTGCGCATGTGTCAGATGGCCATAGGTGTCATTGTTTACAAACAAGCATCTACCCATGAGCCTTTGTGTTTTTAGCGTGTGTTGTTATCATCATTTGGGACTCAATTCCCGCGCGTGTGCAGGTGACAACCCTCCCACTTTAAAATATCCTCTGAAACAGGAAATTAACATTTTCCAATTCTATAGTACGTGGTACATGTACTTACCAGTTCACACAATTAAAAAAAAAAGTGAGCAGCATGGGCTTTTTTTTTTGGGGGGGGGGTCATTATATTCGTATGTATATGAGATCTTGGTATGCCCAGTAGAGAAATTTTTGAACTGTGAGTGGTACAATCATTCTCATAATTCTTTGTCTAATACACTGGGAAAGAACCACTGATATTGAAGGATTGCGAATCTGACGTACCACAACTTTTGAATTTTGTTCATGACTCAAGTTTCTTACTTTATCAATCATAAACTAAATTCAAAATTTTTTTTCAAAATATATCAGACAGTATTTGTATCAAGTGAAGATTACAATGCCATTTTAATTCATTATACTTTCAGATACTTCAATAGCAGAGCTGATAAAGGAGAATGTAGAGTTGGATATATTTATGGATTCTTTGCAATCACAGCAAGGTATTAAACTTGGATTAACCATTATTTTACCATATGGTCACCATGTGGTCACTATATGGTCACTATGTGGTCACTATGTGGTCACTATATGGTCACTATATGGTCACCATGTGGTCACTATATGGTCACCATGTGGTCACTATATGGTCACCATGTGGTCACCATGTGGTCACTATATGGTCACCATGTGGTCACTATATGGTCACCATGTGGTCACTATATGGTCACCATGTGGTCACTATATGGTCACCATGTGGTCACTATATGGTCACCATGTGGTCACTATATGGTCACCATGTGGTCACTATATGGTCACCATGTGGTCACTATGTGGTCACTATGTGGTCACTATATGGTCACTATATGGTCACCATGTGGTCACTATATGGTCACCATGTGGTCACTATATGGTCACCATGTGGTCACTATATGGTCACCATGTGGTCACTATATGGTCACCATGTGGTCACTATATGGTCACCATGTGGTCACTATATGGTCACCATGTGGTCACTATATGGTCACCATGTGGTCACTATATGGTCACTATGTGGTCACTATATGGTCACCATGTGGTCACCATGTGGTCACTATATGGTCACCATGTGGTCACTATATGGTCACCATGTGGTCACTATATGGTCACCATGTGGTCACTATATGGTCACCATGTGGTCACTATATGGTCACCATGTGGTCACTATATGGTCACCATGTGGTCACTATATGGTCACCATGTGGTCACCATGTGGTCACCATGTGGTCACTATATGGTCACCATGTGGTCACCATGTGGTCACCATGTGGTCACCATGTGGTTAACATGTGGTCACTATATGGTCACTATATGGTCACTATATGGTCACCATGAGGTATCCCATGTTGTCACCATGTGGTGTCATCTCAGAATTCTTTTAGCTGTAACTATGTTTTCTAATTGATTTGTTGTGATGTAATTGTGGTTGTGGTAGCAGCAGTTGTGGTAGCAGTTTAACTGGATACCAGTAATTAATCATTTTAATTGAGATTCAACATTCCGAAACATGTTTTTATAATGTTGCAGAATTTATGAATGGTATAGATACTGATAAAATTAATAGTTATATAGAAGACTGTATTTCTAGGAAAGAACCACTTATCAAGGTAAGTGGTAGAAACTACTCTACAGCTGAGGTAGTGGGTAAATTGTTGTAGGAATGGAACTTGGTACGTTCATTCAGGGCAATGCACATAAATCAAAGAGCCCAGGCTTATGATGATCCCCTGCAGCAGTAGTTGGGGTTCTAGTTGAACACCCAGAAAAGGTCAATCTGCATGAGTGAGTGTGTCACAGATTCAAATGGAAAGGCAGAAGTTACTATAGCCTAGATACAGTCACTTTCAAATATAACATTAGTGGAACTTTGTATGTGTTCATTCTTGTGTTTTATCAGATGGTTTCTGGGTTCTATGTTGTCATCTTCATATTTACATAGCCCTGTCATGTAGTCCCACACATATATAATTTATGAAGTTTGCACTGTACATTTATGTATGTAAATACTTTGCACAAACAAAATTGGTAGAAAGGTATAATTCAATATCTACAAAAATGTTTGAAAATTAGAAAATTCCAAATGACATTGAGTTTTCCATTACTATCATGGCTATGCAGCATTAGAAATCAACATTTATTTAATGTAATGTTATGTATGTATGTAAATTTTATGTACATTCTTGTTTCATTTTCTTAATGATGCTTAATTTATTCATTAATATATTGTTTTTTGATTTGTTTTGTATTCCTCTCCTTTTAGGTTATTCGACTTATCTGTATGCAGTCTATTACAAATAATGGTTTTAAACCTAAAGTTTTAGAGTTTTACAAGAGAGAAATTATCCAGGTAAATATTTCCTCCTCTTTTTATACATTTTAACATATTGTAGTATTCTATTTTTTGAACACACTCACTGGATATTTACCAGAACTAAACTAACGCTTCTTTCTATGATGTCACTTCCTTTTGTGATGTCACTTCCTATTTCACTTCATTATATTTAAATGTTTTTCAATTTAGTCAAAACAGTCATTTTCAGCTTAGTCTGTATAATTAACATATGTGTATTTGTTTCTAGACGTATGGATTTGAACACATTATAACAATAGATAATTTAGAAAAAGCTGGTTTACTCCGACCACAGGGGCAGAAATCATACTCAACAATAAGAAAATCATTGAGATTAGTGGTGGAAGATGTGAATGAACAGGTTAGTAAGAGCGCCCTCGCATGAAGAGCATAACTGTTTATAACATAACTGTTTATGAAAAATTGTGTGCTTGCACTTCAATTTCACGAAAATGTTAGTAAATCAGAAAAAAATCTTGAAATATTGTATCGATTGAAATCGTTACCAAATTTTATCCTACAAACAATTCTGAAGTTTATTTACTCATAAATTATACATTTTCTTTTAATAGAATCCTACGGATATATCGTACGTGTTTAGTGGATATGCACCGCTGACAGTTAGACTAGCACAGTATTTATCACGGCCTGGGTGGAGAAGTATAGAAGAAGTATTGAGACTGTTACCAGGACCTACAATAGAAGAAATACAACAGATACCAGTTGGGCTAAGAAAGAAACGTACGTACACATTGTCAATTTTCCAGAGAAAATAGAAGTAAGGTCACTAAATCTATGTAATAAATTTGAGAAAAGTTTTACATCACAGAAAATAACAGCAAATAGTCTATATATTTGTGTTAAATTCAAAATAATTAATGCAAAGTGAATTGGGATGCCAAACTGTAATTTGTATGACATAAACATATGTAGATCACACTTGTTGTGGGTTCTTTTCACGGGCCATAAAGGCATTGGAAATCATTAAGATGGTTATCGTTACAAGACGACAATGTTCGGATCTCAGGCCAATAACAATTTGGCATCCAAGAACCATGGGACATTTGTAAAGAAGGGAACGAATACATTCATCATACACGCACAGCACTAAATGACACCAAATTTGAATTAACTGCAATGTGTGTACGCACACTTTAATACAAAGAAATCTAATCAAAAGTTTGACAATAAATACACAATGAGAGTATAGCTATAACTCTAAATCAAAAACTACAAATAGCTACACAAAATTGGCTAATTAAATATTACTGCATTGCCTAAATATTTTAGACGATTTTGATAAACGTAACCGCAGTCTAAATATGCAGGTAAGACAGGGGAAAACCTTTTTATTTATTCAATTTATAGGGAAACTTATGTAAATTAAAATGTAAATCAAGATGACATCACTTTGTTTACACTGCTCATTTCTAATTGGTCAACACCAAAAAAAATGGCGAAAAACTACCAAATCAGGTGCCAGGTAAATTCTTTGTCGTCCAATCAGGTTGCTCCCCTTGCGAAGAATGTAACAATTCGTGCATGCAATATATGTATTAAATATTTCTTTATACCTCCACCTATAAAAAGTCACAAAGTATTCCCCTTTCTGTGTAAATTACGTATGTATTTAAAAGCTTATAGGTCTAACAGAGAGGGCGTAATACTTGGAAATCAATTAAACTTTGAATTCCTGACACTCTTATTTGTTCAGGTTCCACTGGTGCAGAAGGTCCTGGCGACAATCAAAAAGTGACATTGGTGTTTTTTCTTGGTGGTGTGACGTATGCTGAAATTGCAGCTTTACGTTTCCTGTCACAGCAAGAAGACAGTAAGTGACCAAAAACTGATCATGAAGGCTTGATGAAAAAGTGTTCAAAAGTTTGTTGATCACTTTTAAAAGTATAATAATTATTGTTTTCACTTACTGGTATCAACAATTCATTCTGTACACAATGTTTGTATAACTATTCTCATAAAATATCTCAAGTGTGATTTAATACAGTATAAATAATTATTTAAAGATTGTGTTTACAAATTTTATGAATAATGATGATGTTATTTCTATTTTTCTACAGGCCCCAGTGATTATATCATAGCAACAACCAAAATTATAAACGGCTCAACATTTATCAAATCAATCATGCATAACCTATCACCTGATGCATTTGGAGCTGTACCAGTGGCGTCGTCCGGACAAAGCAGATAGTATTATACCATCATGCTACACATATGTATCTGTGTGCTGATTGGCTGAAACAATATCTGTGTGCTGATTGGCTGAAACAATATCTGTGTGCTGATTGGCTGAAACAATAGACAAATTATGCATATATTGGTGATATACCACAGTCATGAAAGTAGTGTACAAATGACGCTGAAGTCCATCAGCATCACCAGTTATAAAAAACATAAATGCGGCAGCAGTGTTTTAGGCATAATAATCCATTGTTCTCTCCAGGTACATAAGAATATATACAAGTACTATAAGAAAGTAAAATTATTGTCGCCATTAATTTCAGTGTATCCCTGTCTGTTTTCTTCCATTAAGTTTTTGTAGAAAACTTATTTCTGTGAAACTGTAAAATAGTGACTTACTGTGACCCTCCGACTGCTACATTTTTTTAGTTCAATAATGTTTCATACATTTTACTTATTTATACATATTTTACTATAATTTGTTAATTTTAGACTACACTGGTAATATTTGTTACTGACCATGATTCCTGATCAGATACTTTTAACAGATATGGCAAAAGTTGACTTTGTTATTGATGGGTTGACTGCTGAATTACATTTTGCATGTACTGTATACAACATGAAATTGTCAATTATTTGAGTTTATTCTAAACACCTAAACCCAGAACTTCAAGTCAAAAATAATAACAGTTGAAACATTTCTTTCTATTGTTTGCTTGCTAATGGCTAATGCAAATTTGACCCAACAAATATTTTCACAAACTATGAATTCAAACCTACAATCAATTCCACTAAAATTATACATTTCAAATTTGTACATTTAAAACACTCCCCAAAATGTGTAGATTCTTGGCAAGATGTAGGAAAACACATCATTGCCATGGTTACCATTGTTGCTATGGTGACCGGTTTACAGAATAATATTTGATGCTACCATCTGCAGCAAGAGATAGATGACAATGTTGGACAGCGAATGGACGGAATTGGCTGAAATAAGAAACAAACACTAAAACAATTAATGTGTGTGTGTGAGTTTTTAAAGTCGTATTTCCACTTTGCAAATCTTTGAGGTACCATCCCGACCAATGTGTACACCATCAAATATTCAGATTGTGGATGAGCTATGAGAAATTTACTGGACAGGATACAAACATATTATAGATCTTGGCACATGCCAAGAGTCTCAGATGAGTCAGCTAGAATGTGTGTTTGAACGGTCAGGCCGAGTTGGCATGTGCCAAAAAAAAAATTGATCTCAGTCAAAATAGAAAGTCAGGAGGACAGAAACTCTTCACATGCCGAGATTTGCTGTCTGAACGCTCGACACAAACCTAAATCACGCCCTTGGTGAATTTTAGAGAACATGTACCGATTCATGTTAGTATGACATAACAATGAACGGAAGTGCAACTATATATGGTCAGATGCTGTAGTAATGAATAAAATGAATTTGGAATGTTGTCAGCGAGACACATATATGTGCTGCTGCAACTGGTTTCTTGCAATGCTACATTGACGTAAAAAGAAACAACTGTTCTTTGAATCCTCTTTGTCATCCGTGTGCACAATAACTCGTAATCAATAAATAAAAGAATACGATAATGGCAAATATATATGGTTTCAATAAAGTAATTAATATTATCATTGTATGAGTATTGTCTGCCATGTTTGGGTCAAATTACAGATTTACATGTATGAATGAGATTGGCAAGAACCAAGTGGGTAAAGACTAACATGGACACAACTACTGTAAACCCTCTGCAAACACGAAGGATTAAAAATGTAGGCATGTGTCAAGATCTTGTAATGTGAATGTAGTAGATGTCTGCTTTCGATATATAATTTTTTTTATATGATGTTTTACATATTTGCAAAATGGAAATGCAACTTTAGCATTCATGCTACTTTCTTCCAATTAGACCATAAAAAAAAGATTTTTGTTTCTAATTATCTTGTATCGTAATTTTTGTCGCAGCTTTTTTGTGAATTTGTGAAAGAAAAAAAAACAGAATAAATGCAAAGTTTTATAGCAATGGTAAAATTGACCATAAACATTTCCTACTGTATCTAGACTTGTTTGATATCGCATAATTGCAAGATTCTAGAAATATATTTCTACTCTTTGATCAGATTCCCTGGTTGCTAGGATATGCACAAGAAAGATTGAAATTGTTTCTCGCATATTATTCCATGTGATGAATAAATCAGTGGTACAGGTAATATATCATTGCTTACCATCGCATGCAAGTTTCTCCCCTGCTGTGTTCCCATCCTCACCAAATGCTATGCAGTAATCATTGTTATTTGTCAATGCATCACCATAGTAACGATTAGTTGGCTTGAACACCTGAATAAAAAATGTATGTGACAATTTGCTGGGAAACATGAATAAAAAGATATTTTACATTCACATTTACACCTACACATCCTTCAAGTAAAATTGTCTGTTCAAGATGTACAATTTGCATACACATCAATTAGACCAATCAGAATGGAGCATACAGGTCCTTATTTGCAACATTGCGGAAATCACACGAGAGGGTTATTATAGAATAACTCTATTTTTTTTTCAATATATTTGTCTGCATTTATTTAAGACTATGAAACTAAGTATATTATCATTGCATCAGCACATATGGACCACTGTGATTGGCTTTACATACCCTTGCACATAACCAATGGATGTCTTCACAGTTGGCAGGATGAATGTTGATTGGCGCCGTTAAGTCTGTGATAGTGATATTCTCTCCTGCACCAATGCCATACTGTAGAGTCTCAGCATATGTGTAATTTGTATTCACCTCTATATTGGTCCATGAATCGGCAGACTCATAATCTTGGTTGTTTGTCAGTGTCAGCTTCACGTTAAAGTTTGTTGAATCAGTGTCTGTAGAGTTGGGAATACTTTCTGTGCCAGCATTTTTTATTATAAGGTCGAAGTTCACCCAGGTTGTCTTCCCAGGGGTGTATTTCTGATTGGTTGAATTCTGGATAAACAAACCTGCGACAGTTAAATCTGAAAAGTAAAGTTTTGAAATATATTAGAGCACTACTCCTAACTCAAATATTTCTTTTTGTGGGTCATTACTATGTTTGGGTAGAATACAAAATTGTAATCCATGTTCAGTTCTTACTAGCCAACTGGTGATAATTCTTTAAAATTGAACTTACTGTGATGTTTTATTAAAAGTATTGTGTTTTGATTACATGAACAGCCACACCTCGATCATAAAGTGATTACGCCCACCAAGGTTGGGCAGATTCGTTTTTTGGTCAGAAATTTTAAAAAAAGACAACGTTCAATTTTCTCAATTAATCTTAACAAAGCATTATTTAATGACTATTTAAATATAAAAATAAATACAGACTCGCATCAAAATTTGAAAAAAACAAATTGTACTTTTTTGGTTCAAATAAATTACGATTTCTATTGAAATTCCATTATGTCTAGATTAGATTATTTGACAAATTAGACGGTGAGAAATTATTAAGTTTCGTAACAAACATGAACAGATGTATTAGAATATCCAATTTGCGAAAAATTATTTTACAACAAATTGAAATATAGAGTTAGAGGTGGTGTTGCGCTATTCAACGGTTATCTATGTTTTTTCAAGTACCAACTACGCCCGGCACATCCATCTTCCCTCAATCTTATATACTCCTCCCTATCCGATATCTGAGAGTGCAAGTTACCATATCCATTACCTGAAAGACATGTCCTGTTTGCCTCCATACTTTGGCATTTATAATTATTCACAGTATTCCCATCTAAGTAGGTGTTACTGCTGTCGTAAATGGTGATTTCAACACATAGCACGGTGTACTGGTCACATGACTCAACAGGTATGGTAATCGATGCATTCATGAATAACGTGACGTCATCGGAGTTGGGTATCGACGTCTGTTGTAAATATTGGGACTCGTCCAATATGGCTGAAGTATCCACCGGGAGAACATCTTCCTGCAATGTGACACTCATTCTTAATAAAAGCTAACTGTAGTTTTTATCTCCAAATGTTGTGTTAGCAATGATATTGAAGGTATTAGTTTAAAGCGGGAGGGTCGTCACCTGCGCATGCGCGGGTATTGAGTCCCAAGCAACGATAACAACACACGCTAAAAATGCAAAGGCTCATGGGTAGACGCTTGTTTGTAAACAATGACACGCTATGGCCATCTGACACGTGTGCAGATGACGACTCCCCCGCTTTAATATCAAGATGCCTTTCCAAATAGGTTACACGCTACAGTTAGAATTGGTATCAAGGTCAGAGGCGGCGGCACGCCGAAATTTTGTATTTTGAGGGTCAAATTTGCTGACATACATAGCGGTGGATTTAAATGAAAAAATACACAAAGGGTTTCAGCTAGATTTAGGGGGGGGGGTAGTTGTAGTATGGTACCTGTACTAGGTTCCGTACATTTCCCTTCAGGAACACCCTCCCATCATATACATTTCACTACCAACCACCAACCCGAAATAACACACATTTATATCACAAAGAAAATTTAAATGCAAATACAGCTTGTTATATTACAAACTTGAAGAGAAATTGATAAATGACTGAGCTTACACTGGCACGTACAGCAACTAATGTGAACTAGCACATCGACAACGGAAACAGCATGAATAGTATTTGTAGTGCAGTTTGGTTTGTGAATTAAACTAACTTGAAGTTATGTTTCATCAAAACAAATTATTTTTGGTATTTGTAACAGAATTGCATTGTTGTTGGCATTCAATTCGTGACTTGGAGAAAAAAACAGCAGGAAATCGTTTATGAACACCGTTCATCTTCCGATCGATATCACATCGTCACGGTGTTTTCATGCCTGGGTCAAGGTTCAAATTGGACACTTTGGTAAAATACTTACAAAATTTTGGCTCTTCGCTAAGTACACCATCAGACCAAAGTTATTTCTCACTTCATTCTCTGGGAGTTCTGCGTCCCCAACATTCCATATTGTCACTGTTATGTTGATGTAAGTTGTCTTCCCTGCTTCATAAATCAGATCTTCAGCTCTAGGCTCGGTCACCGCAAAACTTTTTAATTTCAAATCTATGGGAATATGGATAGAGTGAAATGTGTTTTATTTTTTCACCGAATTTTGTTTTGAGAATTTCAAATAGATTTATTTTGAATTACCTTTCCTTCCATTTTCAAATAGTTTTATTTAAATGCATTATTTGGTTTTCTATAAAAAAAAAAAAAAAAAAGGCACACCCTCTCCCCAAGTTGTTGAACAAAATAATTTTGAACATACAGTTTCTTGTATATTTTTTTGGTTTCTTTAGCGAAAGCCGTGTTACCGCGAAGGTTGGGTTAGCGCGAAATGAATTATTTATTTCTCGGTAACCCGAATTTAGCCATTTATACACTCCCATATTTTTATATATTGCAAAAAACACCAACAAATATGTATTCAAGTCTAATGCCGTTTCTAATATTCAAAACAGAAATTGTTCGCAAACCCACCAACACTTCAAGAATTTTGATGAATGCGCGAAAAGGATTCAATGACCAGACAAAAACAAAATCCCGTTGTAAGTCAGCAACCGACTACTTTAGGGTATATCATTTGAAATCGGAGGGGGCTCCGAGGATTTTTAAAACAAAATTGTGGTAATAGCTAATAATAGAAAAAATACTCTTTCCACAGAAAGAAATTCCTGCCACAGTAATGTGAAAAAGTATGTAATGGACCAAATTCTTCCAGCCAATCCCTCTCCAAGATTACAAATGGTCAAAACTTGCAAACAAATCTAAAACCATTGAATGAAATTGAAACGTAAAACTTAATATATTGGGTGTAAGTATTTAAGTATTTCTACACTTTAGGTTCAAAATGATCCTAAAATAAGCGTAGATACTGTAGTAGTTATTTTCCGATTATCCACTGATCTACCTCCAAACACGGCATTCAGGTACGCATAATTCAAAACCAATGCAATGGTTCTTCTAGTCACGTAGCTTACCAACAGCCGCTGACGTCACAGCTACAATCCCTGCTACGCTCATGAACAAAGTCGCAATCAATTTCATTTTTATCCTGTCAAAACATGGAGAAAAACAAAGTAATCAAATTAAATTGTCGTAGATGGCGTCATCACATCCACCTGTTGTTAAATTCTACCAGTTTTCGCAATGCAGACAATTGTCGGGATTTGTGTTTTGTTCAAATGTGCGTGGATCGTTTTCTTTAATCGGTGGATAGTACGGTGGTGGTGAGAATTGTTATTATATTGAATTTACCGGACGGTGGTCATCGAGCAGAACTCGTTCATTTAGTGTCAGCAATGTACATGTATTGTACACGCGGCGTTGTAGTCGTTGCATGGGACACACGCACACAACACGACGTGGCGCGCTGACCACCAGTTTTTACAGACATGATGTGAATATTTTTCTTTGGTTCATACTATGACCAAGCGAAACAAAGCTACAAAATACTATGACCAATCGACTGACTGACGTTTATATGGACTGTTATTATTAAGCGGTTTCGTGGTTTGTTGATAGTCATATTAATTACAGGAATTTAATCACAATCTTTACACGTGTGTTGAGCATATATGTACCCATCCTGATATGATCTACAACGTCATCGTAGAGGGTGAGTTGTCCATGAACCTCTGTACATCAATGTAGCCTCAAGGTCACGTCCAGAGTGTGTACATGGATTTCGTGAATATAGGTAGCATTACTGAATCGTTGACGTGAAGATATATATGTCCAACCAGGGGCGGATACAGGATTTTTTTTATGGGGGGGGGGCAACTTTAAAATCGACAGACTAAGGTAATGATTTTTTATATTATATAAAAACAAATTGAATACATTTTTCAACGGGGGGGGGTACGGACCCCAATAACGCCACTGCCAACCTCATATACGAAATATACACTCACTGATCGCTTGAAATTGGTTTAAATAAAGTATATGAATAAAATAATACATTTCATTTCGTTAGACACGGGAATAAGCTTATAATGTATGCGGATTTTTACATTTGTATGTGAAAGTTCGTTCGCAGTTGTTTATGTTTAAAGTATAAATGATTACCCAGAATCCTACCCCAAATACCAATTGACCCAGTCATGGTGAATATCTACTATCAAATACTGAATCACTGATATTATTAAATATTAATCAACTATTTACACCACTCACCTGTTGGGATGTTCCTTTTTTTGACGGAGACGGTGATACGGCGCACTGAACACTGGGCTATATTTTCCCACAAACCGAACGTCGGTTTGCGTAGAAACCAGTGAAATAATAAACGGTTGTTGACATACGTGTTCTTTACAGCGCCATTAGACCGTGGCATTTAGCGGCAGGTGCAACACATCTAACTTGAACACTCGTATTGTCTGACATTCCGTGGATATAAACAGTATGTTTATAAATGAAGTTATCATAACGATATAACATAAACTATTTATTAGTTACGTAGTTACTTCTCCATGTTTTCCCCATATTTATTTTATATTTTTAATATTTATGTCCGCAAAAATTATATATGGCTACGATCTGTGTCACCACAGCCTCACTGGAGCTTCACTATCGTCAATCACGTATATTCACTGTCTGCTGACACAATATTTAACAAACAAACACACTCGTAAATTAAATTATTATATTCCTATAAATATTCATATCGAAATGAGTAGTATGCATACAGCAGAAAATTAAGACATTCTTGGCATTCCAAAACAACAGAGTAACGCGAACGATGAAGGCAGTATACCGTAGTATACCGTGGTTTAATTCAATCAACTGGTAAACGCTGCTGCAACCCCAGTGGGTACCAATAGCCTCTGATCCAGGCGGTGTACTGGTCTATTATCTTGTAATGCCCATTCAACAAACAGAAACACGTGGTTTGTACTTAATTGCATTTTAAAAATTCAATAACAATTCGCTAGAATAATCTAACTGTCACATCGATATCCCTTGTTATTTGAACACGTGACACACAAACACATATACGGTATGTTATTAATCTCAATTAGGAGTTGTTCTTTTTTATAACTAGTTTTTCTTTCACTGATTCTAAAATTTTGGCAAAAACAACTGTGATGCGGATATTTGAACTGTTATACGCGATGACCAGCAATACAGTGAATGTCCGATAACAACCTTCGTGCTCACAGATCAGGTAAACAGAGACAACTGTGCGTCACGGTAGGGACATACCAACAATTTTATTAAGGGGAATTTTGAGGTTGGGTGAAGTTTCTTGCTGAGCGTTTTTACTATGGTTCTCGGTGAAACGAACATATACCCAAGGTAGTTTTGGAGATTAATAAAGACGACACACAAAAATACTGGTCGACCTTTCACCGCGAGGCCTTATCTTGATGCCCGCATGTTAACTCGAGTAAATCACGGTCACTTATAGAATCATCATTAATTAAAACAATACGCGTACATTTTCAGAATATATCTTCGTAATTGATCCCATCACCGACACATTTCGACACCGACTTATCGGAGCACGCACCTCCACAGCGCCCACTTGAAAATGACGACGCTCTGACATTGTTTGCTGATCGTATCTTTATGTGAAATTTAGTGTCGAATTATTAAAATGTGAACTATTTAATAGATCATTATCATGGCAGGAATTCCTGTGGGAGAAACAACATGTCTATATGTCTTTATTTACTTGCTCTGCGTCATCGTCGTTTTACAGCGAACCATTTCACCGTTTAATTTTAAAGTTTACAATCATGGCTTTTAACTGTTTTAAATGTCCAATCGTTTATTTCAAGTTGCACTTGTGGTAACGGTAAATTATTACCAAATTAGGGATTTGACATCACTGTTATTAAAACTATATATTAGATGAGCCATTGTTGTATGACATTAAATTGTACATAGATACCTTGGCATCTCATTTGTTGGTTTAAACGCGATAACATCTGCATGGGTAACCCATATTTGTATTGATGGATGACACATCATGTATCATTTTAAAATAAACACAACCTCGAAAATAGTTCATGTCGGTAACATGCACTTAATTTTGAAAATGACGTCATGCACGAAAAATTAGCATATCGGTATGATTTTGTTTTGTTTCCTCTTCCATATTTGGTATTATTTAATTTGCATACAGCATCACGTGTGAGATGAGCGACTTCCACACCCCTATGACCATCCTTGTACTGTCATTGCAATTCGCATTTCCGGTCCATTACAGAGATGACAGTTCGTCTATAAATTGCCTTCCCAAGGCATTTGTGAGCCATAAGTCTTGGTAACTTCAGACAACAGCTACAGAGCACAGATCTCGGGAACAAAGCAAACGGCTAATATCTACAGCAGGGAAGTCAGACTTACTTCACTTATTTTATCTTATTTTATTTGAGAAATATTACATTTCAAGAGAAACGAAGAAGACTGTTCATAAATTAACAGGTGAGTTTACCCGAATTATTACCCGTATTAATATGAATACTTTGTGATCCAGTGACAAATATCCTTCCTCGTACTGAAACAATTCCACAAAACAACAATATAAGTTACTACGTGTAGTAAAACATTTCAGAATTGTATCAATGTGTCTTCTATGAGGACAATTACATTTGTACTTAGCAATACAAAAAATTTATAAACGATATGTAATTCACATGTATCTCACCATTGTAGCTTCAACCCAGGTGAAAGGTAATACTAATAATATTATGTTTCTTTTTCAGATGGAAAATACACTGAAGTTGTTATTTGTTATTCTTCTATTGCATGTGAATATCTGCTTCGCTCTGCTAGCATGTGGTAAGAATTCCTAATAAATCACCAATTTGTATTTCAAATTCTTTTCTCCAGCGAAAAAAAAATGAAAATGCAATGAATCAAATATTAAATATGGCTCAGACAAGTAACTAATACGTTTAAAAGGGAACATTCTAACTCGACAAAAATACAACCAATGAAAATGTAGAACTGAACAAATAATATATCTGTCCTATATACGTCGCGCCCTCTAGTGACAAGCCCTTCCGTGACGTAGTTAAGTGTGAGGGCGCCATTGACAGCGCTGACTTTTATTTGATCTATTGTCGCCAGTCAATAAACCGTATTCTGCTGTATTTAAATGACGAATACCACATAACTTTTTTCTAGTTAATTAACTAGTCAATTTGACGTCACAAAAACAGTTCATCACTAGAGGGCGCGACTTATGAGAAAGATAATACAGCTGTTTTTTTTCTTCTTGTCTCCAAGAATTGCGGAGATACAGACTTTGAGTTTGCGAAGTTTTTTTTGCCAGTGTTCCCTATGATATTCATCCACCGTATTTATATTACGGATGCGTCTGTGTGTATAATAGAATTAATACAAATATATGCCTTGATCTCCTTCTTCAGATTTGAATATTTACACCGTGACAATAACGGAACCAGAACCAGACAACAGTCTCGTGTCATTTTACTCCGGTAGAGAC